CTCTCTTTATTTAGTTCTGCATTGATTGAAATGACCTCTTCCCACCTTTTTCCACCACAGCGTGAGATTCTGATATAGTGTCAAGTTAATTGTATCGAGAAAAGGCCAGAATGTTGCCACTTAGAGTTGCAACTGGTCAGCTTTACGCGAATAAGTGCTTTCTATCTCAAAGACTGTTCATGCCAGTATTTTGTGCGTTTTGTGCACGACAAAGGCAGTTGGATTTAAAAAATTTTCCTGTCAGCGGGGCCAACCTCCCACGACACTCAAAGAGGCTTGAAACCGCAGCTTTCCAATCAGTGGTTGAGCACTCAACCATCCGGCTACGAGTGACTGAACAGCAACGTAACTGGCTCTGATTTAGCTAGGACGTGGCACTGATCATTCTTCAGTCATACGAACGATATCGCATGGTCACATATTGACTAACTCCTCAATTTACGACTACTCAGACGGACATGCCACTCAGCTTGTGAAATGAGTCTTCTTTTAAGCTACTTATAGTTTAACAGTAGCTTGAGGAGAGTCAGTAATTTTCTAAATGAGTTTTCGTCTTGGCGAGACCAATCTATGGTGAAAAGCCGGGAAGCACTGTAGGACTGTCTCATTCTTACTGGAAATCAGTAGCGTGCCCACGATTCCCAACAGCCGTACAATCCTTCTCGACTTTCCAGCACAGCCTGGCCTCACTGACAGAACAAAATCCTCATATTACCATCAAAATAAAGTTGGAGTTAATGTTCCACTTTGTTGAGAAAATCAGTCTGGGATGGGCCAGTTTTGTGCGTTTTGTGCACGACAAAGGCAGTTGGATTTAAAAAATTTTCCTGTCAGCGGGGCCAACCTCCCACGACACTCAAAGAGGCTTGAAACCGCAGCTTTCCAATCAGTGGTTGAGCACTCAACCATCCGGCTACGAGTGACTGAACAGCAACGTAACTGGCTCTGATTTAGCTAGGACGTGGCACTGATCATTCTTCAGTCATACGAACGATATCGCATGGTCACATATTGACTAACTCCTCAATTTACGACTACTCAGACGGACATGCCACTCAGCTTGTGGAAATGAGTCTCTTTTAAGCTACTTATAGTTTAACAGTAGCTTGAGGAGAGTCAGTAATTTTCTAAATGAGTTTTCGTCTTGGCGAGACCAATCTATGGTGAAAAGCCGGGAAGCACTGTAGGACTGTCTCATTCTTACTGGAAATCAGTAGCGTGCCCACGATTCCCAACAGCCGTACAATCCTTCTCGACTTTCCAGCACAGCCTGGCCTCACTGACAGAACAAAATCCTCATATTACCATCAAAATAAAGTTGGAGTTAATGTTCCACTTTGTTGAGAAAATCAGTCTGGGATGGGCCAGTGGGCGAACAGAGAACCAGAAATGCCCTCAGCCAATCAAATGAACTTTTATCTGTTCAACCATACAAACCCCAGAACGACAGAAGAAAATACCCATCCAACAGTGCATTGAAGACGTCACCTTGAAAGCTGATGAAACGTTCGCAAAGCAACTGTCACTCACCGCGAACAACCGATAAACACCATCTCAGCTACTCGAAAAGCATGTTAAGGTGTCCATCGATTTTTGGTCAGCGTACGTCCATGGCACTGATTAGTTAAAAAATCTGGTAATGCCTGACCAACCAACGCCAGAATTAAATCAGACGAATATGAAACGAATATGAAACATTGTCAAAATTTGAACGCAAAAGGTGAATGTGTTGTCTGGCTCCAAGTATCTTAGCCACATGAGCACTTTCCGAAAAGTAAAAGCTGAGTATCAGCATAGACAGTGACACGCGTCTGAAGACATTTTTGCCGCAAACATATGGTAGAATCTAAAATAATTGTCCTGGTAATCAACAAGTTCCAGGCGAGGGTCGAAACTCCTACTATTTAAACAATACGGTTAGAATACGGTATGAACTCGATGGGTGCAAGCTGTCCGCCGTAACTGGTAAGCGCATTATCAGAAGAAAAAACGAAAAAAGGAATATAAACATCAATCTGCACGCCTGAATTGATCGAATCTGTTCACAAATATCATGTTTATCGAATAACACCATGAAGTGAGATCAAAACCGTCTAACTTTGACATTGTGTACGAAGAGACTGCAGTCATAAAACTCTTCTTCTAATGAAATGAGTCACTAACTCGAAAGACAGAAAGTCTAGCGTTGGCGCTATAAGGGACGTACTACACGCCATGGTCCTGGTCTAGAATATAACTCAAGAATAACTACTGAATTTGTTTAGGAGAGAGAAAGTTGATGTGGCCAACTCTCACTGTGCATATCCGTTTAGATACAACTTGGGGGAAAGCTACGTAGACAGAACCGATAGACATCACGGTGCCAGAATAAATAAACACATCAACGGTTGGCTTATTGCCATCCCCTAGTCGTATTCGGCAATTGAAATAAACAGTCTTAAGCCGACGATTTTATTTGACCTCAAGATTCACCATCATTTCCGGTGATCGGAACTCACCTAGTCCCGACTCTCGCCGAGGCTGCTGCACCTAAACAATTAGAGTCCTTATGAGGTCTCTAGGTTTTAACAATGTTCTGCTGTCCCCGGGCTTCCTCTTGGAAAACGGTCTGTGGAATCTCCCACTATCGTGAATGTTGGTGCCCTTAGACCAGCAGTCTACGGCACCCGTTGGTGGTGCCTTGCAACTCAGCATTTCCCTAGTTTTCGGTCATTTTTCAATGAATCCAAAAGAAGCACAAGATGAAGGCAAACTTCCGTCTGAGAATTCGTCACTCAAATAGCAGATCAACACTTGACCAGGTGATGAGGTTTCCGTAATTGGAGGATGAGCGGCACCATGTCCTGTCTAAGTGCGAGTTACTCACACCGCTGATTAGCCGCTTGCGGACGAAAGGTTGAGTGTTCAACCACTAACCGGAATTTCGCGGGTCCGAAAGTCTCTTAATTAAGTGTATGAAACAACTGTGCTTCAGATTGGCCTCACCGACAGTGCGAAATCCCTATTTAAAGTGATTTAGTCTCCTCACGCTACCATCCGTTGTGTGGCTGCTTGAATAACTAAACATTTGGTCCAGTCATGGTGTTGAGACAGTTGGAAAATCACTCTGAAAGGTAGAGCAGACTGAAACACACCGTCGAATAGTACTGGTCACTTCGGTGGGACACTGCAAGACCTACTAAATTTCGAATTTAGAACTTACTACTAGCAACGTTTGCAAGTAGCGTAAACAAATGCGACAAACAGCATTCGAAGCCGACCATTTTCACTGTTCTAATCCGTACATTTACTAATTTTATGTGCCCCTGTTCTAGCCTTGTTTTGTAAACAGATAATGGTACTCGAAACTTGAAAAAATCCACTTTCACTTTTGAACAGTACCACCACCTTTTCGAACAACCATAGTACAAGATGTCATTTAGATATCAGAAACATTCCTTGAATGAAAGCATTATTTTCCAAAGGTGTTGAAAGTTTTTGGAAAAGTGAACTGAATACTATCCCTTGTTGGCACCATTAAAGCGGCTACTGATGTCTTATCAACTCAGGAATAACGGAGGTGAAGTGTTCCTTTGGCCGTTCATTTTCACACTCTAAATGACTTGCATATTTACTGCGACTCGATGTGGCTGGCTTTCGTCTGGTCCTCCGTCCTTCTTCACTGAAACCAACCTCGTAAAATTTGGGAGTTCCAAAATGTAGGGGTGAGGAATTGGTGTCGGAATATGGGCAAATCTAGCTGGACTTTCTGGGACCCATTCACTGACAACACCTTTCTACGACATTCTGCGTTTTCACCACCACCTCGCTGTCGATTTTAAACACACATGACATCACGCTGCCACCCATGTTCCGAAAGTCGTACCGAGAGGCCTGTGAACACTGTCTCAAAGTTTACGAGAACCAAGCTTTTGTTTCTGAGTAATCTCCAAACTCAAATTAATGGTCTGGCATTCACTTATCAGGCCCATGTGTGTCACTGGCTTATGTATGGCACACTAAAACAGATTAAGGCACGGTAAAAGGATAGCGGAGCTTCCGTCTTGGATGCTTTATTGTCGGGCGGGCTGCATATAAGGTAGACACACGGCTGTGTGATTTCTTTCAGAACACTCACCCTCAGAAAGACCTCTGTTCGGCCGGCAACATTCTGTACCATTTTATGTCTAATGTAATATTGTAACTTCGGTTCGATCTGTATTTGTTTTACTTTTTGCTTGATGCATACTATTTTAGAGAACACAGATAGCAGCGGGTCAGCATTTCTGATAATTACTGCTTCAAGTTACTTGCAATAACTCGCGTAGGTTGGTTTGGACGAATCCATAACCAGGCATCCAGAACGCGAATTTTTGGTTATGCAATAAGAATTTCCATCAAAAAATGTATCCAACTCCAAAACGGGCATTGGTCAGAACAGAAGAATGCCGAACAGTGTAATGTTTTGCGCGCCCAATTCAGAGTGGCCGAAGCAGACAGGTGGACAACCCTTAACGTGGTATGGGTCTGTGAAGGAGATTACTAAAAGCCTGTGTGCCGTCTGTCAGACATGTCTTTCAGAATGAGGACCACGTGATCCTCACTGTACCTGATTGGATCGCTGCAAAGTATAGTTGCTAATCCATTCCGACGTCCTTCTTATTGACGGTTCCCATCCGGATTTTCTGATTGAGTGTTTGAAGGTATGAACACCTCGGAATGATTGTAGTAAGCTATCAGCAAGTCCCGTACCCGCCCACGTTTATTCTTTTCTGCACAATAAGGCTTTCAAACAAATCATGGTTGTATGACAGCGAAGCATTAATGTTGAACGGTGGTGTCATGTTGTCGGTGATGATGATGATGATGATGATGATGATGATGATGATGATGATGATGATGATGATGATGATGACTGAGATATGCCGTTCCAGAGAGTGAGCTCTTCATGAGGGGAGCAAATGAACCAGGGATCAGTCTAACCATGATCGGTGCCAATCATTGTCTGGGGCGAAAAAGTTAATCCACCATCTTCTTTCCGTACAGATGACTGCCCGCAAGACAAACCGGAAAAAGGAATCGGCAAGGCAAGACCATTCAGAGGATATCCTCCCCATGTGCCCGTTTCTAAACGAAGAGGTTCACAAATGTCTGGTAGAACGATGCAGCACAGTGACTTGATTACAAATCGGTGGGAGAACTTGCAGTTGCAATTGGCCGAAGCACACAGTCAAAACGTTCTGCTTCAGAGACAACTCCAAGAATGTCGGGTGGAACTCAAAACAGTCCAGCGGCAGAATAAATTACAAGCGGCGCGTTTAAACAAGGTCAGTCTCCAATAGGCTCATTGTAACGAGTGCTTTGAAACATGCTCTACCAGACCCTGAGTGGCAGGCTTGCCGTGACCTTGTCTTAGACATCTTGTTGGTATTCCTTTGATGATTGGGTGATAATTTCTGTTATTCAGGCGATTGGACAGGAGGCTGATATGCCCCGCATCCTCGATCACATGACGGCTGACATTCGATCACTCCAGGCCCGCCTACGTGAAAAGACCAATCAGTGTTACGCGGCGCAGCAGAAAATCTCTGAGCTGCAGAGACGAAATGCAGTTTTGCAAAAAGAATGTGATGAGAAACAGAACTTGCTTCTTCCGGACGGCAGTGTGGTTAAGAAACAAGTAGGCAGAATGGATGAGATTCTCGGTGAACTGGATCGTGAGAAGAAAAAAGTTGCGGTAAGTTTACAGCTGAATAGTACTCCACTGTTGAACTCTCACTAGAAACGCTGTTTTTTTGGAGAACTTGGCTGAGTAATACAAACTGTGTTTGATCTTGATCTATTGGTACCTGAAAGTGATGACAGATAATGAGTACACCAAATTTATCAGATAGACACAGATAAACAAAAGAGACCGACTCTTTCGGATGGCAGTCTTGACTATCCTGGAAAAGTGATCACCGTCAGCACTAGCGGAATTGGCTGTCCGGTGTTTTCATCGACCTTTTAAGTAGTATCTTGTCGAGTTGCTATCTCGAAAATTGTACCAACCAAGAAACAGGGCGGGTTTTGTGCAGCGCATTGAGTGAAAGAATAGCATTATGAACAGACTCGGTTGATTCTCACTCAAGTTTCTCGTTAACGCGAATCTAACTTCCAAAGGAGCATCATGTGGTATTCAATTACGAAAGCAGATTGATGAAAATTCAGAGCTACTGACCTTCAAACTCTCTAGTTGTTTGAGTGGAGTCTTCGGTTGGAATCGGGATTTGTGTTCTATAAAAGGGGATCTACCGAATGGCCGGCGGATGAGTATGCCGGCACCAGTCGAATGCGAAATTCTAACGGATCCTCTTGATTACAGCATCGTGAACAGAAATGAGAAGAATCACACCGTATCGACCTATTTGTCCGAGTTCAAATTTAAACAGAAAGAATCAGAAAAATTAACTCATGAATAGTTGTGATGGGTAAACATCACACTATTTGGACATATATGTCTTTTCTGCAGTGTTAATCGCTTATACCGAGGAAAGATAGAACTTTAATCATCCTTCAGTGCGCGCCACGTGATATGGTGTTGACTTTGTCGGGCAGTTATGGAAAAAACTGTGAGATTCAAAGACATTTCGCTAACAAGAACATGGGACATCACACAGAATCGTACGAAGTCAAGAAGTTCTCTCCAAGACGAACACTGGTCCTCCTCATGGTGGGTAGTTTTTCAACCTAAAGTCATTCGGAATTTGCCGCACGCTGTGAATTTGTGGCAAACGAGGGTGTAGTGTTTTTTAAACTGATCTAAAGACGGGTCACTAATGACCAGTAATTACAGTACTCATCGATAAATTCCATCTCAGACAGGTGTAATCAGGTCCTTCCATCCAAAAACACCGTTTGTGCGGGACTATCGTTCATCCACTAGGTTCACAGGAGAGAACTCACACGCAAGGTTCGTCATTATACTTTTCTCAATAGGTATTGTTTTAACTTCACCCGTACGGACAGATGTTTACTTCTCGGGCAACTGGCTTTCAGTTTAGGCTTCAGCCTCGGAACTCCAGGCTTACAGAAACTAGAAAAGTGACCTTGGGATGAATCACTTTCGAAGCCAACGATGTGCTGGAGCATCATTTCACAGATCCAGGGATTTTATCGACTACTTATGTCATAACTCATGACAACTTCCTGCCGAAAAACCTATCAGCCTATTCGAATCAGAATAGCTTTTAGCTGCAACCAAAAGTTTCCGGAACGAAAAACAAAAAATACTAGGTCGGCCAAGATAAAAGTGGCTTCGTCGCCAATAATAACAGCCAGCTTGGTTGTGCCAACATGCATCAAGATTAATCGGTATTCTTGAGTTTAGTGTACTGTACTGTATCGTATTGTACTGTATTGTACTGTATTGTATTGTATTGTATTGTATTGTATTGTATTGTATTGTATTGTATTGTATTGTATTGTATTGTATTGTATTGTATTGTATTGTATTGTATTGTATTGTATTGTATTGTATTGTATTGTATTGTATTGTATTGTATTGTATTGTATTGTATTGTATTGTATTGTATTGTATTGTATTGTATTGTATTGTATTGTATTGTATTGTATTGTATTGTATTGTATTGTATTGTATTGTATTGTATTGTATTGTATTGTATTGTATTGTATTGTATTGTATTGTATTGTATTGTATTGTATTGTATTGTATTGTATTTGATTGTATTGCAAGACGCTCGTCCCTCCCTCAGTGTAGACATTAACAAATGCAGACCTACATCTCTGTACTATTCAAGGAATTCAGCATGAATGGGTCTTGACAATGAAGCCAGCACGGTAGGCTTGCTATCCTCACCCCCGGAAGAAGCTATTGGATGTGCGAATCACGGGAACTTTGGATGATCTATTTATGCTCACCTGACAAAATTACTATGGATGAATGCCTCGCGACGTTTTTTCTTGAGAGACGTTCCCCCACTGCAGTAGTATACGAATCTTGAAGGCGAACTTAAAGGCGTCAAATATTTCATCATTGTTCGCAAAGGGCTGTTAAAATGATGGATACTTGGGTGGTTTTTCAATTGGAGACTGTCACAGATGATAACGGTTTGGGCGTAGGTTGATTTTGTCTAACTAGGTGAGCGCACATGATGTTTACTCTTACATGAATCAGAGAATCCAACACGCTAATTAATCAGACGCAAACAACCAAAGTTCATTTGACGACTGGCTACATACAGACTGGCATGAAAGAAGGCCTTTCGAACTTTCCGGGATGTGTCGGTTAGTGCCGTTACCACTCGATTCCATCATTAATCGATAGATACAATTTACAGTGATACATATGATATCTGGTCCAGATTTAGAGTAAATCCGTTATTGCATTTGGACGGAGCTTGTATGGGGGTATCAACGCACAAAAATCTCAAGAAGCAACTCGCTCATATAGATACCGCAGTTCTATCGATGTCAACAGGCCCCTAAAGGTATGTTTATGATGATTCTTCTGCCAATTTCAACTGCAAGTGATCGCGTCCATATCATTGGTTAACTAGGACTGCATTGTGCTATTTATGCGTTGAGCTTTGACCTCTGTGACCTCATTCTCCGATACGATCATGTCGGTGCGAGTACGCCTTTACTGTTCGCTTATTCTATCATCTCGCTCCCGCTCCCCCGACATTCTATTGGAAATTCTCTAACCGTGTAATCCCATATAAGTCCAGGCGAATCGAATGAATTAAACAGTTCAAAGAATTCTCTTAATAATCACCCCGAAATTTAGCATGATAGTGTGGCCACCTTATCACTCTCTAACAATGGCGAAACAGAGTACGGATGTTTTTCGAATGCCACTGCTAACCAGCATGGCGCCAGTGAGAATAGGCCCACACTCACGACTACTCGCTGAAGATGCATGCCAAATATCTCCGCTTTATCTAGCATGCGTACATGCGAGTACCGATCAACAAAATATCGATCCGTCCTCACAACGTGCGCAACATCTCTTGGTTTAATGAGCACGTGATTTTATGTTTTACACTGCCTAGAACAGAGGCCTAATAAGCATTCATAATTTGTGACCGAAGCTTGAGTACTGTTCATCCGCTATGAGCTAATGCGGGGCAATCAGCATGACTGTACTACCACGTCTTATTTTTTATCCTTCTGGCTTCCCTACTCTCTTACAAGTGTCAGGCATGTTCAACGCTCAGAAGGAAAAGAGTTGAACCTAGTCCCTGTTTTTTCCTGATGAGGCTAGTCGTAGGAGCAACAAGATTGGCTTTCTGGTTCTTAACTTAATCATGTTTGTTATTGATTTTATATATCCTTCGTCTGATGTTGAATTATCATAGGCTACCCCCTACTCAACGACCACAAAAGGCAAGTGATTGGTTTTCATGAACAGATGAACTCTGATGTAAACTCGCCCATCGTAATAGTTTTTTAATAATACTGACAAAATCTTTAGATGATGACTCCTGGAGCAGTTATCATGGAGTTTTGTTCATCTGTTTCCAATTCTGGCCGAATACCTACAAAGAAGAAAATGATCAAGTAACCGTTCAGTGCCCAGCTGTCATGTGACCCTGAGGACCGGAACTGAGCTAATGTCAGTCTCTTTAAGCCCAGATAGGAGAAACAGATACGCCGGCGTTGGGTTCGAACCACGGACCTGTGGGTCAGGAACTTTGCGCCCCAGCCACTGAGCTAACTCGAGCCAGAATGACGGGAACAGTACAACTACTCCCCTTGAAGGGCCACTGAGTAATATGCTTTCTCAGGATGGTCAAGTGAATAAAAAGGCGTTCAACAGCCATTGTTGAGTACGTCACACGCTAACTGAAGTTTTCTACTGCACAAAAGTTGGACGTAAATGTTTGTCCCTCTCTATCTGTTCTCTCACAGTGATTTGAAGCAAAACCCTCGACTATAGTTGCGATCGACTTTTCAGAACGGCAGGGAATGAGATTCATTATCTGTGATATTGTGTATGAATACTTGTTACTGAAAGCTCTGATTGCCGCGGGTAATGTGACGTGACAACTCATTAATTCAGAAACAGACATTTTAGCCGAAAATTTCGAGTGCTACTTCCCGGGAAAATCAATCATCTTGTTGTTTCTATTGCAGGCGCTTCAACATCAATTGGAGGTGGCCAATCGAAGTCAAAAGCACCAGGCGAACATTGCAAATAACCGTATTCGTCAACTTCGAAAAAATTGTCATGAATTGGAATCCCAACTTGCCGACCTCACGCAGAGGCTCCAGGTGATTTATCTATGCCACCAATTTTTAGTGTAGACCTGCTAATAAGACACTGGCTAGTGACTGAGCTCGTTTATTCAGTGCCGTGGAATTATTTCCCTCAGAGAAATCCCTGACCAATCAGGCGTGCTCTTGCAAAGCTGTGAAAAATGTCTGCTCGTGGGAGGTCGTACGGACTACTAAGCCCTGATTGGATAAAAAATTTCTGGAAACTAGATGGCACGAAAATTTGGCATCAAAGTCACTGCTAAGCGATTTGATACGCGGTTTCACGTCCTAAACCCTGTTTAACCTTTATGTTAAACTCCTGTGGGAGGTGAGAACCGGCTTGTGTGGATGCTCAGGTACGGGTTTAATTTCGAAAGGTGGGTAATCTCTACTCCATCACGTGCCTTAGTTCGCTTCTGGTTTCAGACACTGGTATATAGCACTCCGAATAAATTGTAGTGCTTTTACCTTTTACCCACCTGGGAAGTAACAGCATCCGAATGAACTGCAACCAGCAGAAACAGGTGGAGCAGTTCCACGAAGATTCCTAACCTCTCGGCTAATAAATGAAAACTAAACGGTTCGGCTTGATCAGCGATATGAATAATGCGCACTCATGCTGACTGGTTCCAGACTCATCAGTAACTTCTTTAGGTCATAGTTTCGTAATCTGTTTGTTCAACATTCTTGTGTTCCCTTCTAATCGATGCTGTTCATGATACCTATACCTATATTTGAGTGTTCCTTGTCATTTTTTATGTTCTAGAAAAGGGTAGGAACCACTTGTAGGATATGCAGGCCGAATGATGGCGCGCTGTGTGTGAAATGTGTCAAGGTTGATTTTGGTTGGTTTGATCAGTTTTTATCAGATCGTGGGAAATGTGGGGAGACTTGTAAAACCCACACAAAGCGGTTCCAGTTACATCTCATTTGAAGGCGATTTCCAACAATTGAAGAAGCGCTTGTGATATAGACACCGTAATTTTAACGGGGTTCTGTGAGTTGTGCAAGGGTGAGGTCTCTGAGCACAGTCCAGTCCTGTGACCTAGCTGAGAAGTATACTCACAAAAGTTATTCAGAATTGCGCGTTTTGCCTTTTCGAAAACCATTTTGATAGAATGAGCTTTCAATACAGTGGTACATACACTGATAAGGCGCATTTATCGTTAAAACATACGTACGTCAGCAAAGCATCAGTGTCAAAAATTGATGCCATTCCTTAGACGACGGTGACGTTGGTAACATAAGGCCACTTTAGAAAATTTAACTGGATTTTATTGTTTCAAGTCAAGAACATTTATGCTCATCATCATCATCATCATCATCATCATCAACGACAGCATGACATCAGTGTTCAACACCAATGCTTCACTGCCGTACAACCATGACTTATTTGAAAGCCTTATTGTAAAGAAAAGA